CTCTCTCTCTCTCTCTCTCTCTCTCTCTCTTTGCAGAGCTCAACGAGACAAGGCTCTCTTTCTCTCTCTCATTGGGCAACAAGACAACGAAAGCATAACACCACTTTCTCTCTCCATAGAGCACAACAAAGGTATGGATGAATACCAAATTGGTTTCATTTTATGACTTCACATATTATGGCTTTTTCTTCATTACTTTTAGGGATTTCAATTTAGAGCTTTTTTTTTTTTACTTCACATAATAGCTTTGTATCAATGGACACTTAGAAACATAAACAATGATCGCCTAGAAACATTGTGGATACTTTTGTAACACCAGAATATGGAATTGATGTTGTTCCGTCCCTTCCCTATCCCATCCCTAACCTCCCTCCACCCCCTTCCCGTACCCCCTCCCTCCAAATTTCTATGTATGTGCTTGTGTGGATAACCCGTGGGTTTTTTCTACAATTTTGTATGCGTCCTATTGCTAGCACAATGACCATTTGCTTGTTAGTTTATTAAAATATTCAAAATTTGTTAATGAAAAGGGTTTGGTAAGTAGAAGCTGGAATCAAGATTGAAAATCTCATTTTGAAATCTTAAATGAAAAAGTTTTGAGTACTATGTAATTGAAAATACTTTGTTTGGTTAATCTATCTGGAATTCTAGGGATTTTGGAAACTATGTTTAGTATAAGCTGTAATTTTACCAACTTTGAAGTATGTAAATTGGTTTATATTACTATTCAATGAAGTTTGTTAATGAGATTGATATTTGTCAAGAGCACATATCTCAGTCAGAAGACCTACTTGGAAGGACTTCTTTCAATCTAAAATTTTAGGAATTGCACTACTAGATGATTATTAAAAAATAAAATAATTGAAATTTTAGTATTCTAACACTTCTCATCATCTAAAAATTGGATAGTCTCTATTCAACCTTGATGCATTAATTTTTTATGTGCATGGAGCATACAATTAGGAATTTTTATTATTGAGCTTAATCTATGGGTTGAAGATGTTAAATCCTCAAAATTTTTGGGGCCCTAAAATTAATTTTAGGTGAGGTTTTTCGCCGATGGAGTAAATACACATTATCTTATGGAACAGAATGTGCTGAATGAAATATATTTTGGCATGTGTTAAAGGAAAAAGTCTATGTAAAGAAGAAGCCCTAAACAATCAAATTAAGGGGCCCTTCCAAAATCCACCTTGTTTCGATGCTCAAAAATCCTCAAATTGATCAAATAGACCTCAAGATGCTCTGTTAAGTGATTGAATTTTTTTTCATTAGGTTTGTTTCCTTTCAATCATGAAGCTTTTTGGTTTGTTAATGGTTCAATTAGGGTGGAATTGTTGTTGCTCTGTGAAGTCATAATTTGGAGATTTATTTTTAAATAAATTGTCAAATGGCATCCATTGATGTTGCTCTGTTAAGTGATTGAATTTTTTTTATTTGGTTTGTTTCCTTTCAATCATGAAGCTTTTTGGTTGGTTAATGGTTTAAACATGGTGGAATTGATGTTGCAAGATAATAGAAATGAAAATTGTAAAATCATTTTTTAAAAAATATGTGAAGTGTTGAAGTCATTAATTGACAAAGATTTTGTAATTTGTGTAGGGTAATTTTAGCACCTGAGATGGACCTCACCATTTCAAAAAGTGTGGCATCTCCCACATGGTCAGAGAATGACAATATGGGGAATCCTATAGAGTCCACGAAGCAAGATCCATTGCTTGCAACCCCGCCCCCCAATAAGTACACAAATCTTGAAAATGGGGAACATGTGTTGTCATCCAAGGCGTTTGAAATAGAGAGACCCCGCATAGGAATGAAATTCAGTGATGAAAATGATGTATATGAATTTTATAAGGCTTTTGCACTGGTGGAAGGGTTTGGTATCAGAAAGGGAAGTACTCACACGAATAAGGATGGAAAGAGAATTGATAGGGAATATAAATGTTCTAAAGAAGGATTCCGCATGGTGAAACAAGTGCAACCTAGAAAAATTGTCCCTGAGACATGGTGTGGATGTGATGCGAATATGTGCATAAGCACAAATGCCAACAATGAGTGGGTTGTCACAAAGTTTGTTAAGGATCACAATCACTTACTTGTATCTCCACATAAAGCTCGACTCATCCGATCACACTGAACAATATCGGACGTGACAAAGACAATGATAAACTCCAAGAGCTCTGCTTTGGTAAAATCTCGAAATATCTATGATGTCTTTTTAGAGCAGGCTGGAGGGATTGATAATCTCCTTTGCTTACAAAGAGACATTGAAAACCAATTAGGAATCAAGAGAATAAAATTCAAAGGGGAAGATGGAAATCGTGCGATGGAATGGTTAATCGATATGAAGAGATCCCATGCATCTTTTTTCTAGTGAAATTAGATGAAGAAGATCACATTGTCAGCCTACTATGGGTAGCTGTTATGTCAAGGGTGTTCTACCATCACTTCTCGGATATAGTCGCCTTTGATACCACATATAAAACAAATGCTTTTGGCATGCCCTTTGCTCCCATACTTTGAGTGAATCACCACCTTAGCACAACATTTTTTGGGTTTGCCCCTATATTTGATGAGAAAGTGGAGTCTTTGGTATGGGTATTTGAAAATTGGCTAGAAGCAATTGGTGGATGTCAACCCAGAGTAGTTATCACCGATCAGGATCTTGCCATGACCACTGCAATGAGACAAGTTATGAATAAAGACAGATATCATTATTGTAAGTGGCACATACTTTCAAAGGTCAAAGAAAAATTGTGTCATGTCATGTGAATGAGTCCATATTGCTCAGAAATATTCAAAAACTGTATAATAAGCCAAACTGAGGAAGACTTTGAGTCAAAATGGAAATATCTTACTGAGAAATACGATCTTCTAGGAATGAATGGCTTAATAGATTGTACATATGTTGAAAGCAATGGATTGATGCATACATGGCAGATGCATTCACGACAGGTATGTCATTGATTCAGATAAGCGAAGAAATTAATGAGCACTTCAAAATGTATGTGACTTCCAATACAAGCTTGTGCACATTGTTGGAAACTACTATAAAAGTGCATGATAAAAAACTTCTTAAGATGAGAGAAAATAACTTAAAAAACATGACATCTAAGCCTTTTATGAGGACCACGTTTGACATCGAGGCTCACGATTCGAAGATATATACACACAAAGTTATGAAGTTGTTTGGATAAGAAGTTGTAGAAAGCGCCAATTACATGAGTGAAATTATTGAAGACAATAGCACAGTTGCAAGCTTTGAAGATATACACACAAAGTTATGAAGTTGTTTGGATAAGAAGTTGCAGAAAGCGCCAATTACATGAGTGAAATGATTGAAGACAGTGGCACAATTGCAATATTTAAGGTATCAAAACGTGAAAGTGTGCAGTTTACAAAGGGAGTGGACATGACAAAATGAATTGTCCATCTCTTGCATGTTTCAAGTATGAATGAACGATTGCTCCATTTTTTGTACTCTATGTGATTTTAATATGAATTATTTAAATATAAATATTTGAAATGGGTTTTCTTCGTTTAAGTTAAATGTAAATATAAGATACACGGACGGGTCATGTGAGAATGTCGAACATGCTGAGTAATGGTAATAATTTTTTGAGAAGCATTGTGGTACTTCTATCCGTGCTTGTATTACTTACTGATGGTCGTACAGTTGCAGACACCGATTGATGGATGACTTCACATTTCACTTGATGTTTCCAAGTCATAAAACAATGTCTGCACTAGCTCCGATGAGTTTACCTTGTTTCATGGTCATGTCCATCCACAATAGATGGTGGTGATGGTAGAATAGGCTATCATGTAGTGAGAAGAATATTTTAATTATTTGTAAACTTAATAACACACCTTTTGGAGGGTGTTCCTTTTGGAGCCATTTGACATATTTTTCTCGTATGGGACCATGTATCTTTTACTTTTTATGGATGTTTTCGAACTTTAGCAGTGTGAAATTGGTTTGTTTTAATCAGTAGTGCAAAATTAGTTTGTGGTGTGTTCATTGTTTGTATTGATTTGTTATCTTGGAGCTCTCTCGTTATCTTGGGATAGTGCTTGATTGGGTTTGGAATTTTTGACAGATTTTGTATGATATACGGCTTGAAAAACCAAAAATATGGCAACAGAGCCCAATTGGGTTTGGAATTTATGACAAGTTTTGTATGATATATGGCTTAAAAAACAAAAAATATGGCAGTAGTGCCTAATCGAGTTTGGAATTTACGATAGGTATTTCACAAAGGCATTCTTTTAACATGCGGGTACTTAGCATGGTATTCAAGGGGCATTCTTTTACCAGGGGCATTCTTTTAACATGTAAGTACCTAGCATGTTACTCACGGGTTTATTATGGTAATTTTGCACAAATGTATTTAAAGGGATATACATTTCTCGAGTTGTTTAAATTCTCAAATTAACACTCGGGACCAGCTCTAAGTCAATCAAATAAGTGGCCACATGATAATATCTATTGTCCATATGTCACTCCCTATATATCATTTCACCAGCATGAGCTTGCACAAACAAGTGTGTGTTGTCCAACATGTGAATGATAAATTTTTTAGAAGCGGGAAATGATGCATTTAGAGTCGCAATAAATTGAGCCATTGGAACACCACTACAAACCAACACCAGAAACAAATTACATATATATGCATAAAAGTTTTGTGATACCTGACCACTATAATGAAATATAAGTCTTTGTTTTACTATAAGAATAGAAGCGTCTCAATGAAGGCTGAAATATATAAGACTACATAGAAATTTGCAACACAATTTGAAGAGAAATGACTGAAAACACAAGGGTTCACATGCAACTATAAGAAAGAATGGCATGCTTTCACATGGCCGAATTTCAGCTTTTATAGCACATTTTTTTTATAGCCCTCAATAAATGGCACAATCGCCCCAAAGCAGATCCAAATCTGGTCGAAGCAGCCCGAAGTGTCTCGAATCTGACTGAAGCTACAACACCAAGCTTCGCTTTGCTTCAGTCTATGCTTTAAATCCAAAGGATTCAGCCTCTTCAGTTGAAGCGAAACGAATTTGATAACATTGGTGTAAGGTTGACACCCTATACAAATCTCACCCAACTTTCAAATCATACATGAAATTTTACACTAAAATTCCTTATAATTATGTACGTCCAGTTTCTCTTAGAAAGAGTAGCCCTAACCGTGACAAAAGTCTTATTCCATAACAAGTAGCCCCAATAAACACAATCATTTCTTTTTCAGTATTGTGTACCACAATACCATTTACTTTTGATATAAAGATATTACAATTACTTACAACCATACGATGTGAAACCTCGTAGCTTAGGTGTATTACAAAGTTCAATAAAAGTTATTTTGAAGTTTGAACTTGGTCAATAGAATAAAATACATTCATCCATTTTCGCATCTAATGGTCAAGATTAATTGTGACCATCTTGTACTAAAGGTAAATGGTCTCATTGAATACTTTTCTTTTTATAGATCTGCTTGATTTTAACCATTTTTGAAATTTAAAAATTTCTAATTAGGTATAAAATCAATTTTAAGACAATAATAAGAAGTTTTTACAACAAAATTACATGTTATGATAAAATTTTAAGGTGCGCCTTAATTGGAATGTTTAAGGTTGCAACCTTATAGAAACCACACCCTTTTTTAAATATTATAACTAGAACTATATAGTTAAGAAAAAGTTTATATAAGGACAAGGCCCTAAACAATCCATGTAAAAATTCACCAAAAGAGGTTGTTTTAATGCCCAAAAACTCTCAAATTGGTAATCTCAACCTCAAGATATACAGACATAGAAAAAAAAAGGATTTCAAGCCCTAGAAACAATGTATCTTGTAATGCATTTTTTTTACCGTCAATTTTTCAGATTCTTAAATGTTCATAAATTTGCTTGATCTATACTATTTTTGAATATTTAAAGTTTACAGATAGAGATAGAAACTAAATTTTCAGGCCATCACAATGATTTTGAGTATTGTAACTACATCTTTCGATACCATTTGAAGGCACGCCTTATTTTGATGGTTTAGGGCCTCGGCTTTACACAAACCATACCCATATAATTATTATTTATTTTATTAAATATTATTTAAATAATAAATTGGACGGGAATAGTGTTCATGTCAAGTATTTGAACCTATAACAGATCTGCTGGGAATAATTTGAACCCATACCCAGACCTGGAGCAGGTCCCGGTCCATTACCAACCTACCCTCAAGCGTCGACATCATGTGGATGCCATACCATCGCAACGTAGGGCACATTTCACTTTCTGTACTCCGCATAATTTCATCGAGTCACTGAAAATTCCATATAAATTCGCGGGAGGATAGATGACTATATAACGAGACACACCCGGCCAGGAGACAATTTTAGCGCAGTTCATTTTTTCCTTTTGCGATCATTTTTGGATGGCATTTGTCTGCCAGTTTTCTTCTTCCAAGCCTTTCACCTCTTGTCCTCTAACCCTAACTGGTCATGTTTTAAAAGAAGTTTTCTATAGGGTTTCTCCATGGAGAAGCTTAAACCCTAGGGTTCCTAGAGTTTCGATGGCCACTGAGGCGGCTTCTTTGACGGCAAAAGAAGGAGTAGGCAATTCATTAGGGTTTTTAAGGAGACAGGACTTCCCTATTCTTAACCAGGTATTTTCAGTAGATTTCTCGAGTTTATTTGGACTGGTAACTAATCTGATTTGTATTCTTTGATGATTATCAGTTGCTCTCTTCTTGCCATGGAATTAGGCGTTTGATAATTAGTGGGTTTTGGAGCATGGTTTGTTTATACATGCGTCTCTTCTTTGGTGATATTATCTGAAATAACAGTATCATCAGGAAAGTTTGTTTTTCTTTTTTTTCAGTCATGTGGTGAAATTTTTCTATGTTTTTTATGGGATAAGATTGTAGAAATTCGATATGGACAGAATAGATTTGTACTGGAGATTGGAAGAAGGGAATGCAAGAACGTAGGCTGATATTGCTAGAACTTTAAATGAGAACAAGGCTAGTAGTGTGCTGCCATGTTTTTTGTCGCAGTTGTAAAACAACCCTTTACCTCTCCGCCCCTTCCTCTCGGTCCGGTTTAACTGTGTGACAAGCATTGCTTTTTAGTATTCTGCTTTTTAGTGTCGCAGGTGTATTTGTGGGTGCAATCTCGGGGTTGGAGGCTTCAACTATTGTTATTGGGTTAGTATTTTATATTCTTGTAGATGCGCCAATCCAATTGAGTCCAAAAGATTTGTTAGAATGGGCATCACATTTATTCATTTAGTGCACTGATAAAACTAAGTAGTGAAAATAGACTCCTTTGATCCAGTTATTCATTGGCTCTTGGCTGGCTTCTTCAATTGTGTTTGATAAGTTTGATACTCAAGAACCCACTTTGTTTGCTGGATCTTAGTGAGTGGTTTCCTCACCAAATTGGCTAGGACCAAAGTGAAGGCAACAAAATCTTGCTATGTCAGACTTACTCCACATTTTTCGAAGCCACTGATACCACTGCACAGCATCACCCTCCAAATGGAAAGAAGCGAAGTTCACGTTTTGATCCTCGGCAAGCTGGTTGAAGGTGAAGAATTATTGTGCTTGGTATTTCAACTTGTAGGGCCCTCATTATCAATCTGTGGAAATTTAATCCTCGCAGAACGAAAAATAAAAAGGTTGACAGCTGCTATTGCGGTGCATGGCAGTCCCATTGGAGGGCTTGATTGCTCATGCAATGGATGGATGTCCCTTAGGAGGGGCTTGAGCAGTGAACCTCCTTTTGCACTTTCTTTTAGAGAGATAGATAGTTCATCATACTTTTGATCCATAAATGCAATTAAGGAATGAATATTACTCATGGTGTGTGACTGTGCAGCCTCATTCTCTTTAATGATTTACTTTATTTCTTGTTCCATCTTCTTCATTTCTGGAACTCGAGAACTGTCAGCCATGAGAAATCATGTTGATCCCCAACTCAACCTGGAAGGTTGTTCTGTATAAATTTCTGTAGACTAAATAGATCTATATTAGGAATTGAAAGAAAGGAATGCAAGAGCGCAGGCTCATATAGCTAATTTTTTAAATAAGAAAAGAACGAACAATAAGAACAATGCAATGTCTCTCTTCGAGGGGGAACTCCTCCAACTTTCGTCTTTGAGGGGAAACTCTTCCCTTTACAATGCTACAATACGAAATCTGATATTCTTCCCTTCATGTTTACCCCCTATTTGTAATCCCATTACCCATTATAGCTATTTCAATCTTACCCCTAGACAACTAAACCCATAACCAATTGTGTCCCCTTCCTCCCTCTCTGCCTCTCTCTTTCATCCTGGTAATTAAAACTATATCCTACACTAAGAACCATTCCAAAGTCTATACTATCTTCCACATAATAAAATTTTAGGAATTTGAAGAATTATTTGTATGGGTGTTTTTATGCAAGGTTTATTATCATTTGCTGGAAAACAGTTTCATCTGGAAGTTTAGAATTGCCTTTCATTAATAAGTAATTATATTTAATTAATCATTACTTATTGGTATGTTCTGCATCATTGGGATAAAGTGTTGGAATATGGCAGGAATTTGGACATTATCTATTCATAAGTGCACTTCTAAGCATAATGGGTTGTAGATTTGTCAGAGAAAAGAGATGCAGTTATAAGGAAATTTTAAACCCCATATCCATAAATTCCAGTAGCAGATAGATTTTCAATTGTGTATTTGAGAGGGGAAGAAAGTTCACGCTCTAAATAAATTTGGAAAAAATGGAATATAGTCTGTCAATATCCCTCTGATCATAAATAGACTCCTTTGACATATTTCACCTGGAACTTCTCTGGGATTCAGTTCTATATGTTGTTGATATTAGCTTGAATCTTTTTATTTAAATCATTGATGATGTAGCAATTTTTGCAGAGGGAGAGCACATATATTTGAGTGAGCACATATATTTGCAACTATTTAACTTCTACCATTATGTCCGTGGTTTTTGACACATGTTGATACATGAGGGACACAGCTTCTGTCTCAAAAATTAGAAACAGACACATGCATGTAGGGTCTGCATGCACTGACAACCAAGATATCGATGGTTGTTGGCATGTATTGACACATGAAGGATCTGATAATAAAGATACTTTTGCTTAATTTTTTACTTTGGAATGTCACTAGAAAAGTACTTAATGACACACTTCCCCTTCCGTGAAATGAACAAGTGATGTATGGTTGTATCGTTCTTGAAAGGCCAATAATGGAATTGGTGTTCCTGATACTCGTATCGTATTAGACACTAGGTCATGTATCCATGCCATTGTAGCATAAGCGTGCAGGTATATTCACGTAGAAATCTGTACCGTCTAGGCATCTAACAATACCTGCTACTTGCTTTTCTTATGCAGCGGAATAGTTTGGTTCATGGTTACTCCTGTGGTAAGTCAAGCCTCTAATGCTTTATCTTTTTGTTTGCATCTTGGCAGTAAGGAGTGTGATTTGCACGACTTATTTAGAGCAATGGTATTTCTGGGTGCCCTTCTAGATGGTTTAGGCTTTATTGTGGCATTGGAATTGTCTTCTGGCTAACATGCTATTAGAAAAAGTCCTTTCAAAATTGAATCTGATTTTGACGTGTGCTTTGATTTAGTATGGTTATTTTGCTGATACTAGTTCAATCATCACATATTAAAGGTAAGTTGGTTGAATACAATTTACAGGAGGTGAATGGTTCAAGACTGGTGTATTTGGACAATGCTGCAACATCTCAGAAGCCATCACTTGTTTTGGACTGTTTACGAAATTACTATGAGAGCTTCAACTCCAATGTACATCGAGGAATTCATCACTTGAGGTATCTAAAGATAACATTTAATGTCTTCCTTTCTGCCTGCTCACTTTTTATATAGGTTTGTGTGGAATTTGTTTCTTTGGATCGTGGGGTTCTTTATGATCTTTTATGCTATGCATGGTTTATAATGGCTTTGGATTAATGGCAAAATCAAACTGGATGTTTACTTGTGGGGTTGAACTTTCATCTATGCAGGGAAATGTTTAATTTGTTAATTTCAGTTTTTCTTAATATCCCTTTATATGTCATTCAATTTATGTTGAAATTTGAATTAACTTATTTGAATTAACTTATTCTCATTTTTATCATCCTGATAGTTCTTTTATTGATAGTAATTGCTTTTAGCCCTAGGATTTTTTAAATTCGAGCTTAACATCTATAACTTAGTTTTATTTTAATTTTCGATAGTGGGTATGAATGCAACGAGGTTATGGTTATCTTTTAAAGTCATAATCTATGCATATGTGAATGGTTTTGTGGTAGGTGAACAATTTCTACTATAGTCTAATTTTGATGATAAATTGATGAAATTGCACCTATTGTTAATTAAATATCTTGAAAACTGTTGTATGGCTTTGGATATACTCTTTTTTTTCCTTATATTTTTATATTTTCATCATTAAGAAAAAGACCCATAGGCTTCCCCATGTCAGCCGAAACATTTGACTATTTTCTTCCTTTGACAACAGTTTTTAAGAAAACTTATGGTACATACGTGTAAGGATTCAATCGATATCTGGACCCAATTTTTTGATGAAAGAAAAAAAAAAAATGAACAACAAAGAAACTCAATCAAGTTCATATCATAATGTCACAGGGGACCTTTTGGATGGAAATTAATTCTATCTAGAGTTTATTACTCTATCCAAAATTAGTATATTCTTTATAACACTATTTTGTTGTTTGGTAGGTATTATTACATACACAAGTCTATATGCATGTTTGTATTATTTGTTGTAATGTTGTATTGATGAGTGAACTTGACACAAGTTCTTTCTTTGTCCCGTGAAGTTGAAATGAGAACCCATATCTCTGAGTTTTAGAGCATCCTCTACCCTGCCTTCGTTGAATAAAAAAACTACCTATCTGTGTACCCACCACGTGTACAATATGTCCCATATAATTAATGGCTCAGAATCTTGAAAAATAAGCTTGTGTGAACATGAGTATCTTGGAGCAGTGCCTAGGAAATACCCAAAACCCAGATTTTAGGGCCAGTTTGGATGTCAAATAAAAAAACCTTCACATTGAAAAAAATCGTAAGTTTTTTCATCCTTAATTAAGAAACATTGCCATCTTTTTTTATTATTATGTTGGGCTGTTTGGATGGAGTTAACATACTTAAAGCAAAGTCGCATTCTACCCTTCCAAAATTCTCTTGCCAATCCAAAAAGTTTTCTTGTGTCAAAAAATTTGTTTCCATACAATAAGCAAACCTGCAACCCGAGCTTCTCCATATTCATGAAGAGAAGGGGTTTCCCATGGGTGTGGTATGAGAGAAAAGACTTGCCTTTTGTAGAGAGAGAAAGCGCCTTGGCCTTACAAAAACGTCGCTTAGGGCTGCCATGGATGGGGCTTGAGCTTCTCTGGTTTTTTGCTACCCGAGCTTTTCCTTATTCATGAAGAGAAGGGGCTTCCCATGGGTGCGGTATGAGAGAAAAGACTTGCCTAAAAAGAGAAAGGGCATTGGCTTTACAAAGATGCCGCCTCGGGCTGCCATGGATGAGGCTTGAGCTTCTTTGGTTTTTTGCAACTCGAGCTTCTCCTTATTCATGAAGAGAAGGGGTTTCTCATGGGTGTGATATGGGTTTTTTGCAAACCGAGCTTCTCCTTATTCATGAAGAGAAGGGGTTTCCCATGGGTGTGATATGAGAGAAAAGGCTTGCCTTTTGTAGAGAGAGAAAGGGCCTTGGCTTTACAAAGACGCTGCCTAGGGCTGCCATGGATGGGGCTTAAGCTTCTCTGGTTTTTCTAGAGAGAAAAAATGAAAATGCTCTATATATTCAGAGAGAGTAGATTTGGGGTTTCTAAGGTTTCATGGAGTTGTTAGGTCACGGGTTGAAGTTTGCACGGGGGTGAGAGAGCTGCAATTTCATAAAAAAAAAATTCAAGTCTTACTTGAATTTTTTTATACGGTAACCTTTGCCTTGACACTGCAGTATTTTTTATTTCAATCTAAAAATCTAACAAAATCCTGAGGTTATCCAAATGGTTCAAATTTGTTTCACAAGATTTTTTAATTGCAATCCGAAAATATTGCAATTTTGGGTACATCCAAACTGGCACTTAGCAATTTTACAAGCTTGTGAGTCCAAACAATTGAAATGTAAAATCTGGATTCCATCCAGATGCTATCCAAACAGCACATACCCAAAACCAGGTTTAAATCACCCAGTCTTATACTTGGCTTTTAGATAAAACGCAACGTATTTTATTTTTTTACTCCTAGCTTAATACCCCCCTAGCGATTTAAGCCTCCTTATCGAGTTCTGTGTCCTCAGATTCAGGCGATCGAACTCTAATAAAATATATTTGTATCCATTTTTAAATCTCATCAAGCTAATGAAACACCATATCATCTGATGCAAGTTCATAACTAGGTTGAAAACTAGCCACACCCACCATTCTCATTTTGCCCTCTCTCTGTATCTATGCTCGAATTCAAGCAACCAAAACTCCACACGTCTACCCTTAGAGAAATTCAAAACTTTAGCAGCTAAATCAAACATCTCAATCTCTCATTTTCCTCCACTAAAATCTTCCGCCACAAAATCAAAATCACTCTAATTCATTATATTTGAAGGTTTATTGCTATCCTCTGTTTCTTGGTCTTGTTGAGACCTCGCCGTTGCGATATTGTACTTTTTAGGGATTTGACAAATTCTTTGGACCCTGACCCCAGGGGAACGGGTTTTCCACCATGAAAGCTCTGGTAAGTCTTTTATTTCCTTTGAGTGGGCCGTCTTGGAATGGGTCTTAATTCGAGCAAAGAACCTCTGAAATCGCTTTCTGTGCTCTTATGGCCTGAACTCTTTTGAGGAGAAATTTCGGTGGGGGTTTAGGCTGTGTTATAGAAAAAAAAACAACTAGGCTCTGGGATCAAGCTATGTTTCCAACTCGACAATTACTCGTGGTTTCAGTTGGGTCTTTAATCCAAACCTCTGAAATTGCTGGTTTCTTCTCATGTCCTGAACTTTTCTGAGGAGAAATTGGGTGGGGGTTTCAGGCCTTGTTATTGCAAGAAAAACAACCAGGTTCTGGGATCAAGCCATGTTTCCAACTCAATAATTATTCCTTCCCAGTCTATGATAGAACTGAATTGATGGGGCAAAGTTAAAGAGGGCTCTTTTGCCATTGTTTTAGGGTGTGAAACCTTGGGCTCTGGTTTTGTGGGTTTGACGAGTAAGAGGAAAAGAACATCTGTTTGGTGGACTACATGGGCAAAGCTCCAAGATATGGCTCTGAAATTTCGTTTTCACTTTGAGATTGTGTATTTCTGAAAAGAAAACCAGACTAAAACAGAGAAATCTATCAAGAATAGTGGAGTTTTTCACCTTTATTTTGAAGGTTTTGGTCATAGAATGACGGGGATTTAGAGAGAACCTTTCCTTGGGTTCAATGAAAGAAGTGGGCCTTTTTCGATCATTCCCCATTAAATTGGAGTGTTGTTACTTGGTAATAAGAATACATACCTTTTTTTGGTGGTGTAAACTCATATGGGAACTCACTTAAAGGCTTATTTTCAAGTTCTTTGTAGGCACACAACCGAACAAAATATAGATTCTTTGGATTACCAGTGCTTATCAAGAGTAATATTGTACATCCATACACACCCTAGATGTACATACATATATGTACGGCGGTATGTGTATCAAGGGATGAAGAGATTACACTCACTAGATTATGCTGCAGACTCATATCTTACCAGGGACCCAGCTATTTATATAAGGAACACAAACTTCCTTTGCGACCACATTAAGATTGAAATATGATATCGTATGTAAGCTAATGTGCATGTGACAAAAAATTGAGCTAAAATCTCTCGAAATCGAGCTACAATCTCTGCCAGTGCTTGGTAATACTCATTTAAAAAATACAGCGTTTTTGTAATAATTAGAGTGCGGTGTGGTCTATCTATAATGTTTTTTCCTACTTATAGTCATATTGAAATAAATCTGAATTTTGTAGTTATGGAAGTAGTTTTTTGTAAAGCTATTTATACTGCTTTTTTCTGTTTTTTCATGTATGTGTTCTGGCACTTATTATCCTTGATGAAGGTAGTGCTAAAGCCACAGATGAATATGAGCTAGCTAGGCAAAAAGTAGCAACATTTATCAATGCATCGGAATCGAGGGAAATTGTATTTACTCGAAATGCTACCGAGGCAATTAATCTAGTGGCTTATTCATGGGGTCTTTCGAACCTTAAATCTGGAGATGAGGTATGGAATCACTAGTGCTTTTCTTGTGGGTCATCTCATTTTTATGCCCTTCTGTGAATAGATTAGATAGCTAGCTTCTCTAGACTGACAAATTGGCTCCATCTCAGTTGGTGAATCTTCAAAAAAATAATGCTCTCTTCTGTTGCATAATTGTCACCTATAGTCCCCAACTTCTACTGTAGTTGGTCACCTGTTGCCTCACTGAACCACCTACCCAAGCATGAACTGAATTTGTGAAGCAAACTGCAACTTGTATTGATATTACCTTGGATTTATAATATAAGCTGCATCTTGTGATCCGTAAGTTGTAAAAATGCTACAAAATCATTCCCAAAAGTATAGAAAAGTAGAACCACGAACCAAACAAATATTCTCTTCACTTATCTATATGGAATTAGGAGTGGGTAATGTGGTACTGAATTTCATGGCTATCTAACTATAATATTTAAGTGTCTGACTAAGTGGTTACGCACTCAATTCCTTAAGTGGACTCTGTTGCAGATTTTACTTACTATAGCTGAGCATCACAGCGCTATAGTTCCTTGGCAATTTGTAGCTCAAAAGACTGGAGCAGTCTTGAAGTTTGTGACTTTGACAGAAGAAGAAGTGCCAGATGTGGAACAATTGAAATCATTAATTTTGAAGAAGACAAAGATTGTGGTCTTACATCATGTCTCAAATGCACTTGGTAAAATTAGTGACCCAGATCATTTTTTCAAAAATTATATTCTTTGTGATTTTACTTATGCAGCCAGACGTTTTGGCATTTTATTTCTTACTTGACCTAAATGAATGCATAGATGACATAAAGTTCTGTTGAAATGCGAGATTTCTAGCCCAGTTAAATTCAAAGTCATGTTATATGAAACATTTCCTTTATTGATTTACATTATGTTGGAATCATTACCTTTTGTTAATAGTGTTTATTTGTTAAAATATTGATTCCTTTTAAGAACTGAATGCGAATTAACCCTACAGAAAACCAGATTCGAATTAAATTTTACCAAAAAAAAAAAACTTTTCGAATTAGATGAGCAAGAACTTTCAATTCATTGCACAAGTTGAAATTCTATTGCAGATGATTCAAAATCATAGTTGACAAACTTGTAGTGGACTGAAATTGTACATCTCTAGTGACTTAACTTCCTTTGAAATATATGAAGTTATTAACTAATCCTTTGATGGAAATGCCTATTAAATTATTTATTTTATTTTACTTGTTGATGAGTACATATGGTTGGTAGAAATGGATCCCGAGATGCATGTTGTGGCTCCGCCACCCTGACCATGAAAGTATCCAACTGTATGATGTATACTACAATTATTTTTCAGGTTCTTTTCTTGCCATTGGCGACATTGTGCAATGGGCACATGATGTGGGAGCCAAAGTGCTCGTTGATGCTTGTCAAAGTGTTCCTCATTTACCGGTTAATGTACAGGAATTAGATGCTGATTTCCTAGTTGCCTCCTCTCACAAGGTCAGATTCATCATCACTCGCCTTCTCTGCTTGAGGTTTTCAATATCTCTATTTTTGTTTTTCTGGTGTAACTTCTGTTATCGTGGGGCCTTTCGTCAATAACGTAGAGGGCGTTTTGCTTGGAGATTTTAAAAAGGCTATAGAGTTATACAATGTTTGCTTGCTCCAACTGAGTAATAAACTTCTCTCAGATGTGTGGGCCTACAGGCATCGGATTCTTGTATGGTAAAAGTAAGCTCCTGTCTTCAATGCCTCCTTTCTTGGGTATGCTCTCTCTCTCTCTCTCTCTCTCTCTCTCCTTATCTTTCTATTTCTCATGTGCTCTCAGCCACATCTACTACTCGGTTGTGTGCACATTCACAGAAAAACACATGTCCTTGTGCATTTGTATTGCCTTAATTGCTGCTAGATACAAAGTTTTGGTCTTTTTGGGTTGATGGTAGGCAGTTTAAGGGGATGACTAGTTGTTTAGGGTCTTGGAGGGGATAGTCTTGGTTCCTTAATTTTAATCCACTTTTTGTGTTATATGTTTTTACTATTTTACGTATTTATTTCTTGCATTGGGCGACAACAAGTCTTGTTCATCGAAAGGAAAAATATCAAAATTTATGCTATCATAAGTTTATTTTAAATTTATATATTTTAACTACTTTAGTTATCTCTTTCTTAGATGGGATAATAGCAACTCTCATTCATCGATAGGAAAATAATCAGAATTTATTATATTGTTAAGGCTATGGCTACTTTCTAGCATTCAAGGCATAGAAATGCAGAAAGCACTACATATACCACTGCTTTTTGGTATATGGTGGCCTGATGACATCTAATGTCCATGCATATTGACGGAGAATGGGAGATTGAAATGCATCCTCGCAAACATCTGTCATTGGGAACTGCAGTGAATCTTGATAGCTCCTCATCAGGATCGGACAGTGGATGCACCTGTTGTGTATCATAGGGCATGGACCAGTCTTGTATGATATAACTATCCTTAGAAAGAAGGATAATCACTTGTTAAAGACAAGAGCTTGTGCCATCTTAAGTTTGAAATTCTTTTAATTTTAGAAGCGCATGTTGTATTTTGAGTTAGGCCACATTTGATATGGATTGGCCAAGGCATATTATGAGCTTCAAAGCTGTATGGTGGGACAAGTGCTGCTTTATCTTTTATAGATGGGCAGTTTATTGGGTTTCCTTGTGACTAAGCTGTTTGGTACTATATTTCAGGTGGCGGTGAGATGATTGCTGATGTGTTTCTAGATCACTCTACATATGCAGAACCTCCTTCTAGGTTAGAGATCTTCTGTTAGTTGTCACACCTTAAACACACACATAGTGACGATGTTTTCTTTTATTATACTTTCTCTCTTTCTCTTTCTCAGGTTAACAATAATATTCTGGAAAAAGCAAGGCTTTCTCAATAGAAGCAGTTTCTGATCTTAATCGAGTTTGCCTTGGGTAGTTCAACTATCTTACATAAAGAACTAAGAAGTGGTGCCATAGAAAAAGCTCTTCCTCTCTTTCAACTTTTCAAATAAGGACAAAGTTTATGCAAGGCACCAACTTTCTACTGTAGAAGTGAGGTGCATCTTAAAAACCTAACGGAAAAAAATGTTCCAATGCTAGAAAACTTTTCCATCAATCATCTTGACTTCAAGATATTTCAAGTCCTAAAAATAGTGCATATCGTTATATATCACTTGGACTGTCCATTTTGATGATTTTTAAGTAGTTATAGATCTGCTCAATCCAAACTATTTTTGGGACTTCAAATTTCATAATTAAGGGTGGAAATAGATGTTTAAGCCATTGCAAGACTTTTTGGCACCGAAACTGTTGCTTTCGATACGATTTGGAGGTGGGCGTTACTTTGATTGTTCAACGTTGAGGCCCTACAAAAACCTCATCCTATATATATGATTTTCTTCCTTTTCTTTGTGACAGGTTTGAGGCCGGAACTCCTGCAATTGGGGAAGCCATAGGGCTGGGGGCAGCTGTTGACTATCTGTCGGGCATTGGCATGCAAAATATTCATGAGTATGGGGTATGTTGTCCCTTTTTCCTACGGTCTATGGTTTCTTTTTCATAATCCTAGAAAGAAAATGCAGTACTGAGATTCTTCAAACAATCCATAATATCTCTTTTCCCGCCACCCCCACCAAAAAAAAAAAGAACAAAAGAAAGAGGCTTCAAAAGAAATTTAGTGGTGAGATCTTTTAAGCGCCAAGAATCTATCTCTCTTCCTCTCACGCACACACATACACACACACTCATATTGATGACGTTGTTTTGTTTTCAGTTGGAGCTGGGAGTTTATCTATATGACAGCCTCCAAGCACTCCCTAATGTGCGCATCTATGGTCCTGCTCCTTCAGAAACTGTCAAGCGTGCACCTCTTTGTGCATTCAATGTAGAAAATATTCATCCCACTGACATTGCCACTTTTCTGGATCAACAGGTACAATTTGAGTTACCCTCTAGACATTTGTCATAATAACACATCTCATCTTATTTACCAACTAGGTCAGTTTTCATAAACTCAGTTAGTCTGACTCATACTCGCCAGAGTTCTTGGACTCGGCAGCCTGTATGCTGAGCCTTACTGGTTCACAAGGTTTACCAACTAGGTCAGTGTTCATAAACTCAGTTAGTCTGACTCATACTCGCCGGAGTTACTCGGACTCGGCAGCCTGTTTGCTGAGCCTTGCTGGTTCATGAGGTTTTATTGTTAGTATTTTAAAGACTTGTCTGAGTCTCTGACAGGTTCAGTTGAGGTGAGTTGCTTAAATTGATCTTGGGACTGTAGTGAGTCCCAACCCGAGTCCTCATACTTGGTGAATTGGTTATCATCATCCTGAAAAAGAACAATATTGTTCACAATGTGAAAAATAAACAGGTTTATCTTGCATTTTTCTGATTTAGCTATATGGCTTTTCTTTTATTGAATGTTTTGGACAATATTTGCGATTCTAGAAAGTGAACTAAGGTCCCATTCTTCTCCTTGGATCTTTAGGTTTTTTAGAGTTTCAAAATCTACATTTGACAACCCTTTAGATTCATATACATGAAATTAATTAGTGACCCCCTCACTACTGCTCCAGTATGCTAGCAAGCTGTGATTGCCACCTGTAGGTGCAAAGCGCGTGTGCCCCTGCATGAGAGAGAGAGGGAGAGAGATATGTTGGGATAGCAAAACAGCTACATGCATTATTAAGTAGGCACTTTTGTCATTATTGTGGTTGTGTGCGTATGCATGCCTGCGTATTGCAATGTATGCATGCGTGGGTGTTTATCTAAATGTTTGTATGCGGATGTTTTTGTATGTGTCAGAAATGTTATGCATGTATTTATGTATGTAGTTTCCTTTTACATTTTTTTTTGTTTTTCCCAGCATGGAGCCGCCATATGCTCCAGGTCATGTAAGCATGTGCTTTCCCTTTAAAACCTTTTTACCTGTTCCCACCATGGAGTGGCCATAGGGTCTGGCCATGTGCTCCAGGCAATGTATGCATGTATGCATATGCACTCCCAAGTACTTTCTTTTGAAGTCTTTTTGCCTTCTCCATCAGGGAGTAGCCATCCGGTCTGGTGTGTATATATATATATATATAAAAAAAGATGGGATTAACCTACTAACTCATGTGAATATATGAGCCCAACGGCTCAGATTGAAACTGGGCCGATCTGACGATCACATATGTCCGATAGTTATTGAATTTTATTGTTTTCTCTACAAATCTAAATTACTTGAAATTTTAGGTATGTGTTCTTCTCATTAAGGCGCACCTAATAAAAACATAAAAAAAATTATTCGTGAAAAACAAAATGATCAAAATACTCCCGAAGCTTTTCGGGGGTATTTTGGTCAATTTATTTCGTATAAAATATTTTTTTGATGTTTTTTGAAGATTTAACTATTTTTTATAAACACACTGTTAAAATTTCAAGTGATTTGGATTTGTAAAAATAAAAAATTAAAAA